GCTGCCCTCTGGTGGTCAGTGCGCTCCCACGGGGGAGCTCTGCTCAGCCACAAGCCAGGCTGACGGCTGCCCGTACAGCGGTGGTGGCAGGAGCCTCTCCTGCCCCCTCAGCAGTGCTAAGGATGTCCGACTGCAGTTTAGGCCTGCTCCCTGCTGGCAAGTGGACATCCCCCGAGGGCTGCCGGGCTGCCAGAGGGATGTCTGACTGCCAGCTTGGGCCCCATCCCCCAGGGAGCAGGCCTAAGCCAGCAGGTGGACATCCTCCGAGGGGTCCCAGACTGCAAGAGGGCATAGGCTGGGCTGAGGGACCCCCCGAGTGCACAAATTTTTGTGCACCGGGCCTCTAGTAACTTTATAATGATGGATATATGTCATTATATGTTTGTTCAAACTTACAGAATGTACAACACCAATAGGGAACCCTAAAGTAAACTATGGATTTTGGGTGATTATGTTGTGTCAATATACATTCATCTTTCGTAAAGGAAAAAAAACATTCTGGTGAGTGATGTTGATAGTGAGGGAGGCCATGCATGTGTGGGAGCAGGGACGATATGAGAAATCTCTGTACTTCTCTCTCAATTTTGTTGTAAACCTAAAACTGCTCTAAAAAGTAGTCATAAAAAAAGAATTCCTAGACATGACACTGAAAGCATGACCTATAAAAATTGATAAATTGGACTTCATTAAAAATTAAAACCTTTGGTCTCTGAAAGACATTAATAACAATGAAAAGACAAGATACAGACTGGGAGGACATATTTATGAGCCATATATCTCACAACCCATTCAGATATAAGATATATTTTTAAAAACTCCCAGAACTCAACAGTAAAAAAACAAACAGTTCAGTGAGAAAATGGGCAAAAGAGATGAAAAGCCATTTCACTGAAGGTGACATACAGATGGCAAATAAGCATGAAAAGATGTTCAATGTCACCCTCGCTGGTTTGGCTCAGTGGATAGATGGTTGGCCTGCATACCTCGAAGGGTCCCGGGTTAATTCAATTCCAGTCAAGGGCACGTACCTCCTCCCTGGCCAAACCCTGGTCAGGGCCTTGAAGGAGGCAACTAATCGATGTGTTTCTTTCACATAGATGTTTCCCTCTCTCTTCCACTCTCTCTAAAAATCAATGGGAAAATATCCTCAGGTGAGGATTAAAAATAACAATAATAAGATGATCAATGTCATTACCCATTAGATAAATGCAAATTAAAATTACAATGAGATATCACTATACACTTATCAGGACAGCTAAAATAAAAAATAAAATAAAAAAACAACAACCCACAAAGTGAGAATACCTAATGGTGGCCAAGAAGCAAAGAAACTATCATTCATACATTGCTGGTGGGAATGTAAAGTGGTATAGACACTTTGGGAAACAGTTCGGCAGTTTCTTAAAAATGAAACATGCAACTACCATATGACCCAGCAATTGCACTCCTGGGCCTTTATCCAGAAAAACAAAAACTCACAACCACACAAAAACCTATACACAATTGCTCATAGACTCTTTATTTATAATAGCCCAAAACTGGAAACCAAAATGTCCCTCATAAAACAACTCCCCACTTCCCCAGCCCTTAGCAATCACAATTTTACTTTCTGTCTACTTTCTGAATTTGACTGCTCTAAGTACCTTATATAATGTCCTCAAGTTTCCTCCATGTTATAGCATATTTCAGAATTTCCTTCCTTTTAAAGGCTGAATAATATATATATATATATACATACACATATATATGCCACATTTTGTTTATCCATTCATTCATCAATGGACACTGGGTTCCCCACCTTAATATTGCTATCAACATGAATATACTGACCTGTAAATTTTGAGGGTGTGCCCCAGGAATCTGAATTTTAATAAGCTCCCCTGATGGTTCTGGTGCACATTAAATGTTTGTGAACCACTACTCTAATTAGGATCTCTCAAAGTATAGATGGGGAAATATTTTCAGTGGCCCTCAGATGCACTATAATATAGATTTGACTCACACATAACTGTCCTTTTCCAATTTTATGAATCATCTTGATTGAATCAAGAGAAAGTCTTCGTTTGGTGTTATTTATCTTAAACATCTAATTCCAATTTTCCTTTTTAACAAAGAGAGAGCAGCTCTCAGATTCAGAGCCTTCAGATCCTTCAGTAGGCAATAATAATAGGTACAATTTATTAGCATTGTTTTTATTATATTAGTCTGTGCCAATGCAGTCTATACATTACAAATGGTTTTCCATGTAAGTCAATGGTATGGAGTTGCTTTTTAATAAATCTACTTAATATTTTTGTTTAAATCAAGTAACTTTTTAAAGAAAATAATATGGCTGGAGATGTGTAAATATGACATAACCTTAAATAGTAGTATGCCAGTGGATGAAGTCTGGGAAATACTACTTTGAAGGGACATTAACATTTTAAAAAATATATTTTTATTGATTTCAGGGAGAAAGGGAGAGGGAGATAGAAGCATCAATGATGAGAGAGAATCATTGATCAGCTGCCCCCTACTGGGGATCAAGCCTGCAACCCAGGCATGTGCCCTGACCCGGAATTGAACCATGACCTCCTGGTGTATAGGTCGCTGCTCAACCACTGTGGCACACTGGCCAGGCGGGACATCGACATTTTGATCTTGCTCTCAACTTCCTACACATAGAAGGAGGAAACCAGATACTGACACAGAAGCACAAATCCAAGGCCTCCAGAACGTGGCTCCTATATGGCAGGAATGTGATGGAACCTGCCAAGTGGGAAAAGGCCAAGAACAGGTAGGAAGCATCCCCAGAAACCTCTAAACATTAGAAGTGAGAGACAGTGATGCTCTTTGAAAACCATTTTCTGGAATGATTTCCTTCCTCTTTTCCCTTAGCGGTGAGTAAAATTATTTAAAAACATTGGCCTTCTAATATTATCTTTGGTGATAAAGGATCACTAAAGGAGAGAGGTAAACATCACCAAAGAAGAGAGGTAAACATGTTCTGACTGCTGCAATGGAAGTTATAGACACCCTAAGGAAAATGTGAAATCAGTAGGCCGTTTCCTCCCATACGGAAATCTTCTTAAACTCATATGTAACAGGAATATGGCAGATTCCACGTTCAGATAACAGGAGGGTGCTCCTAACAATAATATCCCGAGTTAATGACAGTAGTTACCATTGCACCGTCTCCCCCTTTCTCATTAAATTCTCACAACACTCTCACTTAGTATGTGTATTCCATGAAGGAGGCAGCACACGCAGAGAGGTAGAGAGACTCAGGTTCAAACTGTGCCTGTTGGGTTTCCCAAATCTGCCTCACCGTAAGTCATCACTTTGTTTAGGTTCTTTGTTACCTTGGCTTCAAGCTCAGCTGCAGGTCTCATTTCCTTGTGGTTTCAGACAGTGGTTCTCAACCTTCTGGCTCTTTAAATACAGTTCCTCATGTTGTGACCCAACCATAAAATTATTTTCGTTGCTACTTCATAACTGTAATGTTGCTACTGTTATGAATCGTAATGTAAGTATCTGATATGCAGGATGGTCTTAGGCGACCCCTGTGAAAGGGTCGTTCGACCGCCAAAGGGGTTTCGACCCACAGGTTGAGAACCGCTGCTTCAGAAGCAGGGACCCTGAAAACAACTTTGAGGCAACAGCTCCTTTAAGATGCCGCAAATCTGGAGCTCCGCCTTGGCCTCTGAACATCTGTAAAACTTTATTGAGTTTTCTGCCTGTTTGAATTTTAATGTTCTCAAACTATGGTTTCTAGTTACCACTGGTTGGCAGCACAATAGAAAAGGGGACTTTGCTTTCCCATGTTTGCTGGAGCGGTGCATCTGGGCCAGAGCCCCATTAAGACTCCCCATTAAGGAAGCAGAAAGAGATGTGTGTGCACAGTGTGGCTATTTTTTCTCTGAAAACTCTTGCTCCTGAGCTACGCACAGTTCATTCAAAAGGCTCCCAATGCTCACACTCCAGATACGCATCATCCTAATGTGAAATCTTTCAAAAACAATTTTTCAAGCACGGATGCATTTTTGAAAGAGAACAACCAGGCATACTGTCCTTAAAAACAAACGTTACACACCACTAAGGCATCTTATTAAACTTATTTTAAAACCCCCGAAGTTTTGAAAATAGTGCAGGAGATTAGGGGTAATCTAGTGGGTTTCTTTCCCAGAGAGAACATCTGAGAACATTTTCTCTAATAATAAAGGGTAAAGTACATGCAGTTGTGTAAACCGCAAATGCTCCACCAGTGCGTGAGTGAAGGAGATCGCCGGTTTGGGAAAAAAAAGATTTTTGGTATCTTCCACCTAAACGATTTATCCCCCATGCTCGCTCGCCTGAGGTCAAGTAATGCGGTTCCAGGCCGTAGCAACAGGCAGTTCTTGAGGTGGAAACATTCCGTGTGAGAAACATTATCTCAAATGCGTATAAAAAGAACACATGTACACTACGTGAGCTTGCAAACTCAGAGGGGCGGTCTGTCGTCGCTGTTATTTATTTTTTCCAGCAGAGGAATCCCAAAAGCGCAGGCTCGGACCCTTGGCAGAGCTGTTCAAAGGGCTGGGTGGGGTAGGGGGGATGCGGCTGCTCTCTAGCAAAACCAGACGCGGGCCCCAGGCAGGGGTGGGAGGGGGTGAATTAAAGGGCATTCCGAAGGTTTCAAGAACCTTCGCAAAAAGAAAAAAAAAAAACACAAGAGAACAAACAGCCCCGACGTGAATCTTTGTTGCAAGAGCAGCCGTTACAGAGCGCAGAGGTAGAGGCAACGCAGGGAGGGATCTGAGCGGGAAAGGAGCGGCGGCTAGGCGGAGGGTGAGATAGCGCCCCCACCCCACCCCCGGCTTCTCCTACTCCATCACCTGCGGATCTCTCGTTAACGCGCACATGCTGATCTCTTAGCTTGAGGCTGGGGCCCACGAGTCTGCGTTTTGAACAAGCTCCCAAGTATCACAGCAATTGCTGGTCCGCGGACCAAACCTGGAGGACCGAGGCCGTCCTGCCCTTACCTGCGCTCACCCTGGTCCGTGTAGAGGTTGATGAAGAGTCCCTCCCTAAAGTCCTGGTACACGGGGCCCGAAAAGCTGAGCTGCAGCTCATAGAGGCTCCCGGGCTGCAGGGCCTCGCGGAGCTCCAGCACCATGTACTGCAT